TTATAAACATTTTCTGTTGACAGAGGCAACGAACTAAAGTGTCACATTTAGTATTCAACCCGTCTTTTATAAAATATGTATTGTCATTTTAGTTTCTAGACGTTTGTATTATCAAGATTAGGGTTATCGGTTCTTGAAAAAGCCTAGATATCTTGAAACGAATCATACCCGAACCGAAAAATCTCTCGTTCCGGTGTTGTCTAGAACCGAAAATCCGTGTCAAGATTTAAAAAATTTTTCGGCACTTATCTTGATAAAAGTGGTAAATGTCCAGCTTCAACTCAACAAATTATAGCTTTTTGGAATAGATTACGATTTAGAATGGTCAGACAGATGAGGCATATTACAGTAAGTGAATTACCAAAATATATGGCGTTCTACTGGTTCCTATCATTACATTATAACCCAATCAATTACCGATAAAAGTTTATTTAAAACCAGATTAAAAACGAGCATTATTTATGGTTGACAATTTTTAAATTCTGTTTAATTTTAAATTTTTAAAATTAGCCTAGATTATAACAAAAATAATTGTTTAAAATAATTAAATCTCTAATTCTAACAAAAATAAATATTACATGATCAATTTCACTGAAAATTTGCTTAGCTTTTTCGACTTGTTCAGCAGCAATGATTTTGTCATCCTTGTTTTCATTGTTCTTTTTATGACGAGCACAATGAATCCCGACAAAATAAAAGGCTAATAATAAAACAGCTTTTAAACGCATTGCTATAATTTAAAATTAATTTAATTTATTTTACACTTTATCGGCATAACGTTAAAACATGAAGGGGGATTAAAGTTAAAGGCAAAATAAAAAGGCAAAAATTTATTAATAGCAATATAATGAAGGGAGGGATGTTTATAAATGAAAGGTGAAGGAGAGGAGTGAGGGCTTATATTGAAGGGAAAATTTTAAGATGGAGAAGAGAGGATAAGCAATTCGGGGGTGGGGGGGGGGTGAGGGAATGGAGAGGGCTTATCTTGGCGAAGAGGAGAGAAAGATGGGAGCGGGAGAGTAGACATGCCCGACATATTGGGAGTGGGGGGGGGGGCAAGGTAAAAGAGAGGAGTGGAGGGCCTATATTGAAGGGCAAATTTTAAGGTGGAGAGAGAGAGGATAAGCAATTTGGGGGTGGGGGGGGGGAGGGAGTGGAGAGGGCTTATCTTGGCGAAGAGGAGAGAAAGATGGGAGCGGGAGAGTAGACATGCCCGACATATTGGGAGTGGGGGGGGGGGCAAGGTAAAAGAGAGGAGTGGAGGGCCTATATTGAAGGACAAATTTTAAGGTGGAGAGGGTAGATAGAGGGGCTGGGGAGTGGAGAGGGCCTATCCGACTTGGGAGTGGGGGGGGGGGGGGGAGTGGAGGGACAGTTTTAGAGGAAAGGTGAATGAGAGGAGTGTAGGGCCTATATTGAAGGGCGAATTTTAAAGTGGAGAGGAGAGGATGGCCAATTTGGGGGGGGGGGGGGTGGAGAGGGCCTATCTTGGCGACGAGTAGTGAATGAGGGGAGAGGAGATTATCACATGTCCGACATAGTGGGAGTGGGGGGGGCGAAGTGGAGGGACAGTTTTAGAAGAAAGGTGAAGGAGAGGAGTGGAGGGCCTATATTGAAGGGAAAATTTTAAGGTGGAGAGGGGAGGATGGCCAATTTGGGGTGTGGAAGTAGAGAGGGCTATCTTGGCGAAGAGGAGAGAAAGATGGGTCGGGAGAGTAGACATGCCCGACATATTTAAGAGCGTGACTGTCTATTATTGACAAATCACATGCGAGTAAATCATAAGTTACTTCGATTTTTCATTTTGGCTAGTGTGTAGCGAATGTCTAATTTGCCCTTTTTAAATTTAAATGTTTTAGAAAAAATTGTTTTTCAATGTTTCTCAATTTAATTTTATCCAATTTTCTTTTAAAATGTTTGGTTGCTCAGTCCTTTGAAATACATTTGTCGGTTACAAACCGAACCTAAAATCTGCTAGAATTAAGGGGAATATATACACTTTTGTAATTGAAAAATAAGAAGTCCGGACACACTAGCCCAAGATCAAAGTCATATTTTTAATTTCCGTTCCCATCCTTTATCATTCAAGAACATTCCCAAACATAACGTGGGAAGTTGCTTAACGAAGAACGAAGGCTAATAATAAAACAGATTTTAAACGCATCGCTATAATTTAAAATTAATTTTATTTATTTTACAACTTTATCGGAACAACATTAAAACATGAAGGGAGATACATAAATGTAAACGGCAAAATAAAGGCAAAAATTTATTTAAAGCAATATAATGAAGGGAGGGCTGTTTATAAATGAAAGGTTAGGAGTGGAGGGCCTAAATTGAAGGGAAGATTTTAAGGTAGAGAGGAGGAGATAGTTAATTTGGAGGGGGAGGGAGTGGAGAGGGCCTATCTTGGCGACGAGTAGAGAAAGAGGGGGGGAGTGGAGTGGATGGACAGTTTTAAAGGAAAGTGAAGGAGAGGAGTTGAGGGCCTATATTGAAGTGAAAATTTTAAAGTGGAGAGGAGGGGATGGCCAATTTGGGGGGTGGGAATTGGAGAGTGCCTATCTTGGCGAAGAGTAGAGAAAGCGGGGAGGGAGAGAATAGACATGCCCGACATATTTAAGAGCGTGACTGTCTATTATTGACAAATCACATGCGAGTAAATCATGTGATAATTCGATTTTTCATTTTGGCTAGTGACTAGCGAATGTCTAATTTGCCCTTTTTAAATTTAAATGTTTTAGAAAAAATTGTTTTTCAATGTTTCTCAATTTATTTTTATCCTATTTTCTTTTAAAATGTTCGGTTGCTCAGTCCTTTGAAATACATTTGTCGGTTACAAACCGAACCTAAAATCTGCTAAAATTAAGGGGATTATATTTTCTTTTGTAATTGAAAAATAAAAAGTCCGGACCACACTCGAATCGGACCAAACTCATATCATTAATTTTTTCCCATCCTTTATCCTTCCCTAACCCAAACATATCGTTGGAAGTTACTTAACAAAGAATAATGCTGACGGATGGTTGGGCGTGCGCTAGGTTAATGTACCGCCAACCAACCAAAACGCCTCGTAATTTTTTAATTCTTCATATTAAATTAAAAATAATAATTCTTCGACTACGGAGAGATATCAAGGTATGATGGTTCAATTGCCTAACTTATTCCTAAGGTAATTGAATTTGCTAGACAAAAATTCACTCAAATTTCAATATTTACTAATCGAAAATAATCACCCCCCCCTCTCCATTTGAATTTCCCCCACTAAAGGAATGCCCTTTTTGAAGGTGGCTGGTATTCTATTAGAAAACCTTCTAAAATTCCTCTTAATTTCGATGGCATTATCTTCTAAAATTAAATATGAACTTCACATTTTTTCGATTGTTTCTTATAAACTTTAATAAAGCTTTCAGTTATAAAAGTAGATTTAATTTACAATTGTTATTAAATTGTCTATAAACTCATTGTGTGTTTAAAGATTTTGAGTTCGATTTTAATTTTTTTAACTTTCTCAATCATTTTTCTTCGAAAAAGTATGGCCTAAAACATGTTACCATTCCTTCATCTTATAAATTTATGGCTTTATTCCCATTGTTTCTGTAGTTCTTTGAAGTGCATAGAGGCTTGATCTGTTAGTTTTATGGTTTTTTCATTAGTTCTTTTTTGATTATTTCTTATAAACTTGATGAAGCGAATGTAGACAACCAGAGTTACAGCAGCATATAGATATAGCAACTTTGAAAAATATTTTGATTTTTAGGAATAAAAAGGTTTTTATCATTCCTAATATAAAAATCCGGCTCTACTCCAGATTATGCGTCCAATCGACTTTTATGTGTCTAATCAAAAACAATTGGATTTTTTCTTAGTATTGCAAAGTCATCATGTTCGGGACCTACGCCCACTGGGTCTGGAACAAGTCCTTACTCTATCCCTCGAAATTTCGGAAATTTATAATTGTTTTTCTGAAATTTTTAAAAATTGGCTATAACTTACCGAAATTTCAAGGGATAGGGTAAGGAACGGTCCCAGACCCAGTGGGCTTAGGTCTCGAACATGAAGAAATGTTTCGGAACCATAACCTCAACTTTGCAATACTAAGAAAAATCCAATTGTTTTTTGATAGGACGCAAAAACTGGAGTAGAATACAAAGCAGCTTAGAAAACTAAGAAAAAACGGATTTTAAATTTATTACCAAATTTAAAACATTGTAGTAAAATACGTATGTCGCAGCTGTCAATTCATCTCTATATGAACGAAGGAGTACAACAAGTGCATTATATAAAAGATAAATTGTTGCATAAGCAATATCCAATGGAAGAATTAAACGCATTGAAAGTAAGTTCTCGTTAAGTTGAAAACTTATGCTTAAGCTATAGTCGGTAACACGTGACCTAAAAATGTTAGAGTTGTATATACTTGAATATACTATTAAGTTTAATTATCAAGGAGATATGGGAGACTATGCTAAACTTTTTCAAATGCTTTTTACTTGATGATTATGAAAGATAAATGGCAAAGTTTAGCCAGACCAGACGTCAATCTTGCTACTGGAAGTTATGCTAGGAACCCATCTACAAGCTGAACTTGTTTCTTTTTTATAATTAGCTACAGTGAGATGCAAAAGTATCGATTAATGTGGACATTCTTCGTCTTAAAAAATAGCCTAAACCAGACATGGTCACGGATAATGATTTTGGTATCCGTATCCGGATTTTTACGGCGGATATCCGCAGCCATTTTGGTATTATCTGTATCCATATCCGTATCCATGACCATGTCTGGCTTAACCGATAACTCAGTTGACATCTTTAACATTTTCTTCAAATTCGACTTTTCGACCCTTTTTAGACTTGTCGAACGAACAGTCCATTTGCTGGATCTTTGGAAAATTTTTTCAAAATCTTGCTGATTTTATATATGATTCTCCGTAAAATTCTATACAAAATGCATAAAACCGCATTCGAAGTGCTTAGTCCCGAACCGAGATATATATTTTTCATGTATTTTTAAACAAAAAATATTTTTCATTTACGAAAAATTTTCTGAAAAATCCCTTGACTGACCTCGATTCCTGTATCCTTCTATTCATTATAGTGATTCTCCAATCACTGAATGCTGTTATAATCACCATTATTGTTGTCAAAATATTTACATAAATTAGTATTTCAGATGTGCTTTTAGTTGTCAAATATAATGCTCCCAAAATTTCCATCGAAGGATCAGCAAAAGCTTCGAGTATTATAAATGTCATAAAACCGATTGAAGTTGCCCACTGTAAAAGTGAAAAAATATTCATAGTTTTACTTAAAGATCGGACAAAGACGGATATAGTTCCTAGAATAATCCACAGAACCTTATGAAGATTAAGCTTTTAGAACTTCTTAGGGCCAAAATGCGATACCCTTTAATTAATTATAATGTTGGAATCTGAAAACAAGTGAAAGAGGCCAATTTACAAGGTAACGACAAGCTATAAATTTCCTAAGTTTTGTCAATACATGACCCCTTGTATTATTCGAAACACATCAGGCATCCAATCGAAACAAATCACGGCTTCCAGTATTCGATACTTTTGAACGAGCTCGGCGGTACATTGGCCTCACTGTACATTGGGATACGGCATGTTAAAGATTTTATTTTTGCTTTCAAAGCACTCTTCGTTGGATTAGCAAAACTAACATTAAAAATAAGTCGTAATAGTTAATCTCATACTTAAAATCAGCGGTGAGCGAAAGAGAAATCACAAAACGCAAGACGCAAAACGAAACGCATGGCCAAAATTTAACGCTCACCCCTGCTTACAGTTAAAACAAAATGTTTTTTTAATTAAATTTCCAATATAGTATACCACTCGAAACCCCTCAGTTAGAAAATTGGAAACAAGATGTACTATCTAGTAACATACAGTGATAGTTATCATAAAAATTGCCAATTTTCTTCCCTCATTTTCATATTTATTTAGAAACAATGTTGCCCTCAAACGTTCAAGCATGACACAAAAATGTAGCGAAGGATAACATATTACTTGTATATAGAAAGATCCAACTAATAATGAGACAAGCCATAGAGGTGCTAATAATTCGTGTGGATCCTTGTAGTAAAGAAGAAGAACCTTAAAATATTTTCAAAAATACATACTCTAAAAATATGCTATGCTCCCTAAAAAATTTTAATTTAAAATCCAGTGAATAAACTCTCCATGTGCGTGATATTAGACAATGGACGGATTACGTACCGTACCCGAAAGTTGTGCATGCTTAACTTGCCTCTTTTCAGGCCCAATTTTTATCGAGTCTTTTTCGGGCCAAAATTCGAGGCCCGACTCGATTTTTCGGACCGGGCAGGATCGGGCCCACAACCCTATTTGCCACTTTCTCTGCTCGTGGTAATACAAATTAAGTTCCTGCCATTACACCCAACCCATGGCTATGCTTCTAAAATTATACTCGATAAATCGTCCAAAGCGAAGAACTATCCCTTGCTATTTGATTTCTAATGCCAATATAATAAATTAAAAATACTTACGAAATAACGTAGAACAGTAGCAAATTGTGTTGCTGAATGGATAGAATAAAGAACGACAATACTGACAAATAACAACTAAAAAGTTATTTAATTTAAATTTCAAATTCAATTACATATAGCTTTAATTTTTTCGGGCCGGCCCGACCGAATCTTTTTCGGACCAAAATTCAAGGCCCGACTCGATCTTTCGGAGCGCGAATCGGGCCCACAACCCTACTCCCAATACATTGGCACATTGATATTGATAGGGTTGTCGGTTTTCTGGAAATTCTTTGGAGATTTGAAACCGAAACGAAGAACCGAACCGAATTTTTCGGATATCCGAAACCGAACCTCGGTTCTTCGGTTCGGTCCAAAACCGACAAAACTACGAATTGATGTTTGACTGTAAAACATACCAAAAGATTTATATGAATAGCAATACGTCTCTTTAAAAATTGTCGTATCAATTCGAATATCAACACCAAAATAGTAAATAACAAGACAATTTCAGTACGCAAGACAATCACATAGGCCGGGCTTAAAAGGCTCTGCTCTAGGTCTATAGCAAGCCAAGTTAAATTAATTTGTGTTGTTGAATTAATTGACGTCATACAGTAAAATCAAAAGTAAAACACTAGAAAAACTCTGCTTTGTATTGCTATATAAGAATAGCTGCCTAATCAAGCCCAAATTTGTCTAAAATACAATGGATTAGTTAGAGTATGATTATGGTTAATAGAAAATGTGTGCACCAATTAATAACCGTTAGTGACAACCAGTGTTTAGAATTTTGAAAATTGCTCGTACTCGTACTTTCGTACAGCCTGTTTCAGCTCGTACTCGTACACAGCAGAGGTGAATCAAAACAATCAGAGGTGTCGGAAATCGGAAGAGCCGGAAATCGGAACTGGCTCAAAATTCGGAACACGGAAATTGGAAATTAAAATTTTTTTCGGAAATCGGAAGGAAATCGGTCTGAATTCCGAACCACCTCTGTTACACAGGTACGTTTACGATACAAATACAGGTTGACAACACAATTAAAAGTCCAAAATTACATTTAAAAAAGTAACAAAACTCGAAATTAATTTAAAATTAATGAGAGTAAAATTTTAAAAATTCATTTAAAAAATTTTTTACGAGTATTATAAATTTTATGAAATAATAAACTTCTAAATTTTTGTATTTAAACGAGAACATGAAATTAATTAAAATAATAATTTTTAAAAAACTCGAGCGTAAACAATGTTTTATTAAACGTTAAAAAATAATTAAAGAATGTATTTTGGCGTGAGTTTCTTTTAGAAAAATGTTTTAAAGCAAGACTTTTCTCATTAATAATTATTAAATAAAAAAATATTATCAATATTGAAACATAACTTTTAAAAAAATTGGCTTATTTTGATGTTCGAGCTTATGTTTAATTTCAATATAAATGAAAATCATTAGAATATATTTGTCTGTCCTGAGAATATAAATTGAAAATTTAATAGAGTCTATGTGGTGGTTAAACGCGATTATAAAATTCCCCGCATATTAGGTTAAAATTCTATGTATACTTTATTATAATTAGTTGATCGGCACTGGACATATTTTGTAATACATATTGTATGCGCATTATTAGTCTTAAAGGTGGAGGTACTAGCCATCAGACTGTAAATAGGAAGAAATAAGAAATATGCTAAATTTTCATGAAAAATTAAATTTTTCGAAAGTATAAGCTTTAGAAAAATAAATATTTTTAAAAAAATATGAATATTTAGATTATAAGAAATTAGGTGGCCGTATTTTCTCAAATAATTACAATAATAGATCGTAAAAATAATAATAATAATAATAAATCGTATCCCCTCAAGAAAATTTTAAACGGTATTAGGGCACCAATGATAGTAGGTTAAGTGAAAATAAAAGGTATTACATATATTAAGTAAGAAATCAAGTATTTAATAAACTTCATCAAATTCTTTTCACCGAGGAAATTGGCCGAATATTCGGCAAGCCTGAATAAGAGGAGGAATAACATGTGCAAATAACAAGGCGATGACGACGGGTCAACCAAATAATAGCGATAATGACACAAGAAAAATGAAATTTGATGAGCAGCAGAAGAACCAACAAAATAGTGGTTGAGATAGGCAAATTATAAGTGTCAGGGTAGTAGTGACCAAAAATTCAACGAAAAAATTTCAAAAACATCAAAATTCAATTACAATAATTACCCTTGCTTCAAATAATCATGAAATAAGGGAAGTTCAGAAGATTCTGATCATATTCTTGAAATAGTTTCACAATTAACTTTAACTTTACCTATTACACGTTAATAAAACAAACAACGATTTCAAACCAACCCAAAAAGGAAGATATATTTGTGGAGGCACAAAACTAGGCAGGAGGAAGTTGTAGTGATTGGAGATATATAAAAATTTTAATACTTTTCGTTATGCATTACGGTGGGAAGCATGTCCCTTTTTTCAAGTTTTCTAAAACAAATCTTGAACGGGCAGTTGTTGTTACCCCCCGGCTTTTGCTTTCCCCTCTGCCAGCTCTCCCACCCTATTTTTAGCTCTGCATGAAAAACATATATATTTATATTTAATTAAACAAACTTTTTCGGAGTAATTACATTTAATTTGTTTTAACTAGGGATCTTACACAAAATTTATTAAAGAAATTTTAATTAAAAAAGCTTTTAAAAAATTTTGAATATTTCATTTAAAATACAAATAGTTTGTACCTCAAATTAAAAATTGAGGAAATAATATATGTTACTGAGCTTTATTTACGAAAAAGTGTATTAAGCTAATTTAATTAGCCACCCCTTTTACTTATTTTGGTTAAGAATAATTTTTAATTCGACAACATAAAAGCTTTTGGCCTTATATTTGGCTCTATATACTGAATCCAACTATATATTATTCAACAAGTTTTTATTCAATAAAAATTTTTTATTTATAGGTTATTTGAGAAAAGAAGGGTTATTTGAGAAAAGAAGAGATTTGTACAAAACGATAGAAGTGAATGAATTAAAAATGGTTAGTCAATGTACAGATTTTATAGACCGTCCAGGAAGCTATATTGAACACAGTTCAGGTTCAATTTTAATGTTAGATATAAAGACAATGAGTGAGAGGGGAAGGTTTTGTTGTAAAAATAAAAGCATAAAAATGTTTTTATGTAAATGTGAAATTAAAAACATGAAATACATACAATAAAACGTAAATATTAAAAATAAATTCTCAAAATACTGTTATGGTTGTTGGTGTAATTGTATTATTTTTAATTCGTAACAATTCAAAAATTAGGCGTTTGATTAACTTATATTCCTTTTTGTATGCTTCATTATAGTCGCTACTGAAATTTAGATTTTGTTAATATTATTCAATGCTTATAAATAGATTACAACCATCCAAAAAGATTTTTTAGAATAATGTAATCTTAAGTAACGTAACTCTATGTATAGTCCCGATAGTTCAACATCCTCTAAAAAGGCTTTATTAGAAAGTGGCTGTTAGGGTGGCATGTCTAGTAAAAAACGCTCAGTACTTCACTATACATTTTTGCCAATCAAATCTATTTTAAGTATCCGGTCATCACAAGTCGATACTTAAAAGATGACACTCAAATTGTTCGGGTTTGTGTACAGTATTACTATAAATTTACCTGTTTACGTAAAGAATTGGGGCGGTAGATGAACTAGAAACACTAATTAAAACGGAAGGAATCATTCCATATAGTAAAAACGAAAACTGATTTTCATTTATCGGAATTAATATATACGAAGTTATCAAACCGCAAACAGCATAACCGCCAACATTAAAGAATACAATTAGAATGAGTGAACGATAAACCTTCTTCATCGTATCATCAAATGAACCTAGATAATTTTTATTTAAATGGTAAATTGGTTCCGTATAAGCACAACTTGAATTGTGATACCAAATTTACTAATATTGTACAGAACTTTTTATATTTTCGATAAAGTTATAACATAAATAATGTTTTCAGGTACTTTTTGGTCAACAGTAGAGGTGGATCGGAATTCCGATTTCCGACGTTTTTTTCCTTCCGATTTCCAAGTTCCGACTTTTGAGCCAGTTCCTATTTCCGGCTCTTCCGATTTCCGACACCTCGGACTGTTCCGACCCACCTCTGGTCACCAGAAACTCCTCTAATTTGTAAGGTTGTAAACTAAGTTTTACGCTCACTATTTAACTAAGTAGGTTTGAAAATTTATATCTCAATGTTCAGATCTCCAATTTATTTAATTTTTTGGGAATATATTGTCAATATTGTTATCTTCATTTTCCGAAAGTTTTAAATTTTTTTCCAGATTCTAAATTGTTTTATAAATTTTTTCATGAATTTGGCTTTTCCATTCCCATTACTATAAATTTTTACCCTTTCTAAATGCCAATATTAATCCAACAAGGGCATAAAAGATAATAATTGGAATAAACATATATTGCACTAGTGAGGCAATTCCATTGTCAAGCACGACTATATCATAAGCATCAAAATTACTTCCATCTATTAGCCATTCGGGAAAGTCATAAACTGACTTGATTATCATTACGAGTATGAAGATTATGAACAAGATAATGGCAACAAGATGTGCATAAATATATAGGCGCTTATTCATACATTTATAACTAAATTAGTAAGATTTAGAACGATGATAGGACAATAAACATGTTTTTCAATTGAATTTTTCAAATGGCCTCAGGCTGTTTGGGAAGCCTTAGCTCTATAGTTAATCAAATTAGTGTAAAGCATATAGCTATTTAATTCCTAAGGCGGTGCAGTAGGCGGCGTGGTATAAGGCTAACACATCAGTCCGGTCTACTGAAGATGCTGGTTCACTCCCAGCCGCCGATTAACCTTTTGCACTAGCTAAAGGAGAGAAATAGCTATAGCCCAGCTACTTTACTTTAGAAAGGACATTGGAAATTCGAAAAAATTTTGACGGCTTTATAAATTTATGTTCCAGCTACGCCCACGCTCCGAAGCGATGAGATCGCGGGCTATAGGTGGAAAATAATGAGTAATACTTCATCGGGGGATTGAGTGATTAAGAGAATGCCCGATTCGATCTTTCAGTCAGAGTCAGTTCATTTTGGCACCCACGTAATAGATAAAAGTAAAAAAAGTTTTGGTGCCGCTATAACAATGAATCAGAGCAATGAATTTGACTCAATTTAAAAAAACATTCATACAATATTGGAAATGCAACAGCCAAAAGTCTGTCTAAACTAAGAGAAATAAAAGTAAAAATGATATTAAAGAATCCAATTAGAGCAGGAGTTAAAAACACAAAAGCCTTCCTCCATGGAACAAAATTTCGTCCACTTGCTACTGTTATTAAATAATGAAATTGTCCAGTTTGTTGAAGTATTTCAAAGAATGAGTTTAAAATCAAAAGTACAGTTGTGTTGCTTTTAAATGCATCATATACTTTCCTAAAAATAAATTTTTTAACTAAAAAATAATTCAGGACATTTAACGAAATATAGCTTGTAATTCATACATCTACCGATATTTTTGCCCACCCGAAACCCATGACCCGAAATGAAAACGCTCCAAACCGATACACGTACCCGAAGATTTTTTGTAC